TCCCTTGTCTTCGGTTGGCGTGTAACTGTTTAGAATTATTAGATCAAATATGCGTCCCGTTATACGTATGTAGCATATACGCTCATTAATTGCCTAAAAAGTTTTAACCTATGGTAAGATATTCTCTCTTACTAAAAATCCTAGTCCATTTTCAAACTTTTCCATATCTGTTTCCACTATCAAAAATAGTTTTGGCATCGTTTCTGAGGCTTCCTTCTCCAGGCCATCTCACTTCTTGTAGAGCTAATATAGAAATATTATAATTTTAAATGCCGTTCTGCATACACTATAACGCCCCAGGTTTATTAATCTTTCTGACGTTTTAAGTACCAATTTTGATGCCATTTTCCGTTGTCCAGTCGTTGTCCAGTCTTTTTCCAATTCCAAGGCTTGTTTTGTGGTTTCTTAACGTTTGGTTTTACGATGTAGGATTGTAAGCCCTATGACCAACTTCCCATACCATGGGAAGAAGGGAGCTTGGGGCCCCAAGTTCATTAAACCCGTAAACCCTAGGTGTACCTGAGGGGCTTAACTTATAATCTTACTAATTGTTTGATTACAAAACCACAAGGTGATTTTTTTATCATGGGCCACTCAATTACTCATAGGGTTTAACAAGAAATTAAATTTTTTTTTTCATGTTATTTTTATACTGCGTGATCTTATTTTTCTACAATTTTCTTTTGTTTTTAACCCCCTTCTAACTTAGTTTTTTGAATAGCAACTTTTGAAACTTAAATAGTAACGCTTATATTTCATTAAGTTTTTAAATTTAGAATAATGTAATGATGTGAGTTAGAAGTTGTACTAGAAATGTTGATTGGGTTATAATCAGTTTTGGGAGAGGAAGTGCGGCTAGGAAATGCGTGCAGTTCAAAATAATACTACACTCCACCTTTTCTCCTGTCCTAAAGTTAAAACTTCAAAAACTTTAAAAATAGTTATCCGAAACTGGTTATCGACCAGTCAAATTTGTGAGTACATTATTTTAAAACTTAAAAGTTAATGAATTGTATTATACGTTACCATTCAAAATTCAAAAGTTGTTGTCAAGAAAACTAAGTATGGAGTGGGTAAAAACGAAAAAAATGAATGAACGACTTAGAGCACATTGTATAGAAACAATATACAAAAAACACTTTAATTTCTTATTAAACTCAACCCCTATGAGATCTTGAGTGATCCATGATAAAAAAAATCACCCTATATATGTGCATTATTGTTATAATAAATAAATTCTGTTATGATTAAGTACCCAGCTCCGTATCCCGTCCACAAAAGTAGAGAATGGGTAGAATCACTACAAGAAACGAGCGATATAAATTGGAGATTATTGACACTTCGACCTGGAAAAGATGAAAAAGTAATTTTTGTATAAAATTCATTATTCAAAAACTTGTTCAACTGTTTTTATTTTTAAAGATACCTATAAAGGTCGCATTACGAAGAAGTAAATGTCCAACTGATCTTCTAAAACGTCTTCTTGACCTGAGTAATTGGAGTAAATGGCCTACTGAATTAAAATCAGGCCAGCCACCTTATTATAACCTAAGTAATATGGGTAAATTGAAATGTAGGAAAATTCCAGGAGCAAATGCAGTAATCGCGGCCCCTTTTGAAAACCAAGGATTGCCTGTGACAGGAGTTTTATTTATTTTCAGTCGACTTGTATCAGTTGTGGATGCTGATTAAAATCGGCGTGTCGGAATTTAATTCCATCAGCTCAATAAAACATGAATTTAAAAAATATTACACTAATAGAGTAAAGATCTAATTATTTTAAAGAATATTTAAATTTTAGTTGATTTATACATGATTTTGTAAACCTAATTTGTTTACATACCTATTCCATAAAGCATACTACGATTATCTAACACTTGTATTTGTTTTTGCTAACGAAATTAAATAAAATGATTATATTGATCTAGACATTTATTTAATAAAGATATAATATTTCTTCCTTAATTTTATTTGCTCTCTTTAGTATTTATAATGTATTATGTAATTTTTAAAAAATTGGTATATATTATTATCTCACTCTAAATCTACCTCCGGTCTAATTATCATAACTTAAAGCTAAAACCTGATCTAAAAAAGCGGTATAAAGAAAAAGGGTACACCACATTCCAAGGAATGGGTTTATTATAAGTTTTTGGTTTGTCAAGATACTATATTTAAAAGAAAAATGTAAAATAATTAAACATCAATAGCTAATTGCGATTTAATACAAGTACCTATTTAAAAAAAATTGTAATCCAACGAGATTTAAATATTCCTTTTATCCCCAACTCTAATAGTAATATTGTTACTATTCTTGTTTTTTAGAATAATATACTGACTGACTCACTCATCATCAAAATTATAAGACACTTCCAGTATAGGTAGAAACGTCAAATTTGGCACAAAGGTGGGTCTTATAGTCTAGGTAAAGGGAAAAATCTGAAAATTGCAATTTTCTCAAAATGAATGCGCAAGGTGAGGATTAATGATCTCGCCACGCCATCATTTGGTGTAACAGTGTTCTTTGTTCTTGTTACGTTTGTCACGTGGTTTATTATAAAGTGTAATTGTACACCTGAACGTTTAGGTTTCGTTTATACGTTTATAATACTAAACTAGATGTATAGTGGCTACTTGTATAAATTCTAGCTTCACTAATTTATTAATTAAATTACACTATATTAACTATGACTAATTTAATTGATATCATGGTTTATTAATAATTATTAAACTATTGATCATTATACAAGTGGCTACTTATATAAATTGTAGCTTCACTACAAAGTGTAGTTTTATGTATATATATATAACATTAAATACATATCTACGTAGTTGATATAACATATTAAATTAGATAATTTGTTATCGCTCTTATAAAATGTGTTCTAGTGACATAATATCTGTTGTTATTTGTCAAACCGATATATTCATATTTAGATTACCTTCAAATTTTTCAAGGCATAAAATATTGTGGAAACTTTAAAAAAAAATCATAGCATATTTTTGTAAAAACAATGGGTAGGACAACGTCCTACATTGAACAAAAAAAAAACGTGTTCTATATTCAACACAGTTGTACAAAGAAGAACAAAACAATAACGACAACAACAGCAGAAAAATACAAAAAAAAAATTCGTTTTAACAACAAATTAAGAGATTTTCAAGGCAAATTTACGCGTCGATAAAATATTTGTTTATACTTATATTGAAAATTAAGAAAATTGTACAATAATACCGGCTGTAATAAAGGTTTCTATAATACCTGCACAAATCCTAACGACGAAATAAAAAGAATTAGTATGGTACATTGTAAAAAAAACAAGTAAAATGTTACAAATAAAATATTTTTCAGCTGAGTCTGCAACCATGAAAGAGGATTTTCATGTCTCGTTGAAGTACCGAATACACTTAGAGTAGTGGCGGAATTATAGATAATGATATAGTATATTAAGAAGCAGTAACAAGCTAGTATCTAAGGTGGTTAGTATATTAAAACATCAAATTTCTGGCTAATATTGTAGTGTTTAATATCTGGCTTAAAACAATCCATAGAGAATTTGGGCCCTTAAACTATTTGGAACTTATCATTTAGTTCTAATTTGAACGTTGTGAATACAACATATATGCCCCCAACCCAAAAATTGCTAAAAAAAATAATTATCTTCGCTACCGCTCTTGATGTAGTGCTTTTATAGTAAGTCAAATTTGTTGTAAATTGAAATAAACAAGCTAATGAGATTAGTAATGGAGGTTTATAAATATTATAGTAGAAGATCGGAGAAGTGATAATTTAACGAAAACGTTTATTATGATAATATGCAACATAAGTATAAAAACGGTATAGAACCAGCATTATTTTATTAAATAAGTATTGAAGTGTTTTATATTTTTCTCAAAAGTGGGAATTTTTTAACGTAGATATTATGTTTTTAATAAAAATAATTAGTTTACGTAATGTTAATTATTAGTAGTTATTTTTTTTTATATGTAACGAAAATAAAAAATAGGTTACTTAGGCTAACTTGCTCTTGGACGACACTATATTTTTAATTTAGTAAGGAAATTTGTAAATTCTTACTAATGTGTAATTAGTTGTTGTATACCTCGGATCTTCATTATTTGCTTAAGTCTTGTGTCACATTAGATTGTGTCAGATCATTAGAGAATTTAAGAATAGAGGACCTCAATTGTTCAAAATTCACTGGCAAGACACCGTGCAATAAAGACGATAAGAAGAATGCGACAAATAGAATCTCAAGCACCATAACTAAAATAAATTGTCCATATAAAAAAAAAACACATTTTTAACATGGATCTAGAACAGTGATGAGAAGCCTAATAAAATTTACATTGATAGGTGGTCTATGAGAGAGCACCTTTTTTACCAGTTACATATATATTCCTGAAGCTACTTTGTGTACATGAACTAATATATATTTAATACCGACATAAAATATGAATGTATTCAGACCATCCTAATAAGAAATAACATTACTTTGATCTATTTAATTTTAATCATATGTATGAAAGATCTTGTACCATTGTACTCATTCCAATTTTACTTTTGACCCTCAACACATAATACTCATTTAATCAATATATACGTATATAGATCATGTTTGTATACTTCTGATACACAATGTTAAAGCATTATTTTTCTAGCTACATTTAAATTTAATCGTAGAAATAGATGTTATTAGAATGGTTGACTACAATAAAAAAAACAATCAAGTATGTGTTAATACTAAACACTATTAACTTTTCAAAATATTGTAATAATATTCTTTACTAGGTTTTTATACGCAATAATAATTCAAAATAAGCAAATACATATTTTAGCTACGGCGCAAAGCAGCGATGCTATTGATTTTACAATAATGTGGGCTTTTTTTTGTGTCTGTGTACACTGAATTTTTTTTTTTTTGATACTGCACCAATTCCTTGCAGTAGGAACTCTATGAATCATGTTTGTATACTTCAGAAATACAATGTTAACAGAACAGAACAGAGGTTATTAGAATGGCTGGCTACAGTAAAAAACAAATGCAGGCTGTTGTAAATACTTCAAACTAACAAATGCTCAGTTCTGTACCTGATTTTGTTTCCTCTAGTTGTTTCTTAGTGTTATAGGTATTTCTTAGTAGATACAAGAAAAAATGAATTGGAAAACTATATTTTTGTTGCCGTGTTTTACCTATTTAGTGAACGCTGGTGCATGTAAACAACCATCTAGGACACATTCCCTAAGACAGGTAATATAATCGAATAATGTCTTTCAATTTTTTTTTTTAGTATATACAAAATACATTTTTTTGTTTTTCATAACTACACAAAATATTTTACGTTCTTAGGAAAAAAGTAATTTGATCTTACTATATATAAATATTTTCTCAGACATTTTTAAATATAATAACATTTTGGGTGTAAATCTACTTTATTGGATACCATTTTTTTTAAATCGATAGTACTTTTCTTACTGATTTTGGGATTGCAAAAATGAATGATCGTGTGTACTACCTAGGTATAGCGAGTGTGCGTGGCAGCTGGCATTTCATACTATGTCGTCCCCCATTCTCCCGCTCATCGTGGCAGGTTTTTTTGCTACCTAATTCAATAGTCTATACTTATAAAAAAATATGTATAGTGTTCCAAAATGATAACTCAACATAGCTTATAAAATAAATAATGACACTATTTTGGGATTTCTTTGCGGGTTATGCGACATTAAATGACTTTATCTCGACCAAATGCAAGAGAATAATTTCGCAGAAATATTCGCTGAACGTTGTGACTGATCGATAACCAGTTTTGGATCAATTACTTTAAAGTCATTCTAGTTTAAAACTTAAGACGGCCGGTGAAGTGCGGTTAAGTTGCAATTCGTATCTGCACTCCGTACCTCCCGTCTTAAATTTCACACTTAGTCGCAACCCCTCCGTCCCCACTAGACTCCGACCCCGACTAATAAAAAGAGAAGAGAAAAAAATATTCATGTTGTTAAATAGATGAAGTTACAATCATAAGAATAATATCACTTTCAGTTGTAATAATTGATATTAACCACAGACCCCCTCCTTTAATATGATCCATCCCCTCGTGCACCAACCCACTGTATTGGCTTATTTTTGTTACAGACAGGCGAGTGCAGCCAAATGGATGATAACGTAATTGTTTTTTTAAGTATACAATAAAAATTTAGTAGGTACTGAATGACTACATTTTAACTTAACAATATAAAATAACATAAAACTTAAATGTTTCCAAAAAAAAAAAAAAATGGAAAATGAGGGTCTTATCCTATATGAATCACCCTGTATATTATGGAGCCTGCTCACATTAAATAATAAGTTATTGTATTCAAAAATAAAAAGTGATAATAAAGTGAAGTTACAATCATAAGAATAATATCACTTTCAGTTGTAATAATTCATAATAACCTCTGACCCCCCCCTTTAATGTGATCCGTCCCCTTTGTGAACCAACCCCACTGTAATGGCTTATTTTTTGTTACAGACGGGCGAGTATAGCAGATTGGATAATAATGTAATTGTTTTTTTTAAGTATATAATAAAAAATTAGTTGGTACTGAATTGTTACATTTTAACTTAACGCTGAATTACATTTAAAAGATATGCTTGCATATATTATTTTAAAATTGATACATAGTTAAATTTACGTTTATTATTGTTACAATGAATGAGTAGATATTTATCAAGTTATTAGCGTTAAGAGAACATAGACTGTAAAATATTTTTTATCCGTCTGAACTTTTTTTTTCAAATTTATAATCGTTTAAATTTTTTTAGCCCGAAAACCTCCATCCAAATGCATCAATTCAAGGTTGGTTAGGTCCACTAGAAAAAATGACCAATATAAATTGGAGTACTTCGTCATATATACCTACGACTGAAGAAAAAGTAATTTTTGTACTAAATACATTATTCAAAAACGTGTTTAACCGTTTTTATTTTTAAAGGATAATGTAAAGGCCGGATTGATTAATAGTGGATGTCCACCTGATATTTTGGAAGGTCTTCTTGTGAACAGTCAACAAATTACCTGGCCTCCTGATAGGTACACAACTAACGCAGGAAACCGAAGTCTTTTAAAAAGCTATACACTTAGAAAAATTCCAAATATAACAGCAGTAGTCGTGGCCGCTTTTGAAAACGATTCGGTGCCTGAGCCAGGACTTTTACTCATTTTCAAAAGACTTAACTTGCAAATAGTGAATACTGATTAAAATCAGAGTGGCAGAATTCAATTTTATCGTCTCAAAACACTTATGTTTAAAAAAAATGTATAAATAATACGCTCATTTCATTTAATTCCGTTAGCAACAAACAAATAAAAGTTTTATATAGGCGTAGTATGCTTTATGTAATAGGTATGTAAACAAATTAGGTTTACAAAATTGTGTATAAATCAACTAAAATTGAATTATTTTATAGTTTTAATAAATTATTGATCTAGACATTGATTTAATAAAGTTATAACATTCCTTCCTCTATTTTATTTTTACCCTTCAGTGTTTAAATGTTCTGTTATTTGTATTTTGTAATGTGGCAATTTAATTTGCTCTGGTAATTTAGAAAAAAAAGAAAATGTCACAAAAAATATTTATTTACATAAACCCTTAACAAATTGGTAAAAGTGGTTATCACTTATTGACATGTGCTAGAATTCTGGGCTAAGTAATGGCATTTTTTTTTTTTGTTAAATACAGATATTTAAATAAATATAGGAAAATGTATTTTAATAAACGAATAAATACATGTTTATATCAATAATATTGTGTTTAGAGAAATTTTGCAAAAAATAAGTTTTTAACATTCCTGCGAATTTGACGTCAACAACTATTTAATTTTAATTGGCATTATCATTACCATCAACAATGTTAGTCGTTATTTTCACATCAGGGTAATATATTATTGTGATTATTGATGATGGTAACATTTCCAAATCTTTAGTAGCCAGGGCATAATATTATCTCAAAACTCAAAAATATGTAGTGCATGTTATTGAGTGAGTGTTAAGTGTCTGGTTATCGATTTTAACGACGGACGACGGGGTTGATAATATTATTTAATAGCAAGTAACATGCTACCTGTGTTGAAATCCCAAATGAGTATTGATCAAAATTTCAAGTCTTAAAAACGTAATAAGTAACGACCCGGTTAATGAAAATTAAAAATCGAACGACGATAGTAAAATTACATTTTTCACTGCTTTTGTATCGAGTTAAAAATATTTGTTCTCATTTGGAAAAATGAAGTCACTAATCTTTTAACGTATAAGGGATGAAGTTAAGAATTTTCACAGTATTAAAAAATATAGTAAAATATGAACCAAAAAGAATACGAAATCACTGTTTTTCAGAATATTAATATTTTCCTAGAAATAAAGTGACTTACACCAATTGGATCACCGTAGTGAGAAATTATTGTAGACAGATGATCAACTTTGTACTTACCAAAGTACAAAAATAGAATATTATGCACATTCTTCAAAAAGGGTTTTTTTTAGAATAATTATCACACATTTATTTATAAAAATCATTGTTTCTGAACCGATGATTTCCCCGGCCGTGGGATATTACTAAAATAAACTTGAGTATCACTGGGCTTCTATCATACCAATAGATTATTTCAAATCACCATTGACAATGATTAATATATTTTTTTTGGGATTTCGAGATTGTAATAGATTTGTTATGTACAGCCTCAACCGAGTGTTGGCTTTCTTATAAGTCTGAAGATAGGTCTAACATATTATACCTACAACAAGTGTAAAATACACTTCGGAACTTTTAACGGTAAAAAGTAGAACATATGTTATTTAAAAAAAACATTCTATATATTTATATATGCTGGCCAATACTACTAATATAGGTACATGTGTATTAAAAACGGCTTGTTTATAACGTAACTGTTATTACATTTGTATCACCGCACCATTTCAGTGTAAAACAACATATTTCTCCGAACCGTTTTTGCTAATTTTTCCTGTTTCGAAGGATCTCTTACAGCTAATACAATATGTATAAACAGTATTCTACGGTTTTTGTGTTGATGATCGTTGTGTTGATTGGAACAATGAGCCAGTCAGGACTACATAAAGTCATTTGGAATTTGACAATGGACAGCCGCCATTTGCACTGCAGTGTAGATATGATTTCCTACCCGCGTTTTGGCATGGTGTTGCCCGAAGTCAAAAACCTTGACAGAACTTCACTTATTAAATTTGGAAAACCAAATTTGCCGATCCTGCAGGTCGACACACAGGTAATAAACTTTTCATAGAAATTTAAATATTTTGCGCTTAAAAGTTTCTCCGAAATCTATTAAAATATAAAATACCTCTCTCAAAAAGTTATATAAGGAAGAACAAGTCAGTTGGAATTTGACAGTGGACAGCCGCCATTTGCACTGCAGTGTAGATATAATTTCCTACCCGGTTTTGGCATGGTATTGCCCGAAGTCAAAAACCTTGACAGAACTTCACTTATTAAATTTGGAAAACCAAATTTGCCGATCCTGCAGGTCGACACACAGGTAATAAACTTCTCGTAGAAATTTAAATATTTTGCGCTTAAAAGTTTCTCCGAAATCTATTAAAATATAAAATACCTCTCTCAAAAAGTTATATAAGGAAGAACAAGTCATTTGGAATTTGACAATGGACAGCCGCCATTTGCACTGCAGTGTAGATATAATTTCCTACCCGCGTTTTGGCATGGTGTTGCCCGAAGTCAAAAACCTTGACAGAACTTCACTTATTGAATTTGGAAAACCAAATTTGCCGATCCTGCAGGTCGACACACAGGTAATAAACTTCTCATAGAAATTTAAATATTTTGCGCTTAAAAGTTTCTCCGAAATCTATTAAAATATAAAATACCTCTCTCAAAAAGTTATATAAGGAAGAACAAGTCAGTTGGAATTTGACAATGGACAGCCGCCATTTGCACTGCAGTGTAGATATAATTTCCTACCCGGGTTTTGGCATGGTGTTGCCCGAAGTCAAAAACCTTGACAGAACTTCACTTATTAAATTTGGAAAACCAAATTTGCCGATCCTGCAGGTCGACACACAGGTAATAAACTTCTCATAGCAATTTACATATTATTTTGTTTTTGACAGTTATATACCTACCCCACCGACCAGAACTTGTAAGTTTAAAATTAATTTTTGAATTTAACTCTTTCGCTGTATTCTTGAAATGTATTTAACAGGTTGTTGGAACGACCTTTCTGACTAGCATCCGAGAAATGGGCAAAGGCCTATTCGCAAAGGTGTGTTATGGAGTTGTGGTCAGTGCAGTAGCTATTGTGCTGCTCTTTGCTAGTATTGTCTTACTGGTGCTCTTACTCACGGCTATTGCACCTTTGCTACTTGTATTGACTTCTTATGCACTGTTGCTGAAACTTTTGACTATCATGGTATTTCTGCCGATGTTTCTAGTATGGATAATCGTCAGTGTCATTGTAATTTATATTGTTATTCATTTGAAACGTTCACATATCATATAATGTTATCATACATTAACAATTTTCACATAACTTATATTATTATGGTATAAACTAATTGTATATACTCCAAGCAGCTGTACGCCACAGCCATGGTGCGTAACCCGTCTTGTACAACTTGGAATACAAACTATAAAATATTGTAAAATAAAATAATTTTGTATTTCACAAGTTTACTGGTTTGTTTTTTTATGCAAATATATTTTGTAGCAATATCGCATGTTATCGGATCGTTTTTATTAATACCGTTATACAACAGAACATATGTAGTGATGCTATTTTTAGATACCGTCGACAATTACTTTTAGCTTTAACTCAATACTTTTACTGACATTTGAAAAAAACGCTTTTACATTCGCCCCGCTTAACCCTACCTGTACCACGTGGTGGCGGTTAGGTTAGTATTAATACCGTACATTAAAAAACATCTTGCCCTGTTTATATTAACTCTATGCAAACGAAACTCGATTTGTTACAACAACTTTGGGTAAATCATTGTTTACCCAAAGTAATTGCTTTTGCAGTGTGGGTCACAATATTCTTTCAGCTGTGCGGTAGTACGCGACGGCCCATGAAAAAAAACCGAAGGTTTGTAATTATTATCATCATTATTGCACCACCGTGTATGGCGTTAAAAAATATATACTTTTTTAAGTTTACATAATATTATGGCCGAGTAAAAACGTGAAAACTGGTATTAAGTTCGCAATCGCCGACTCCAAAAAAATATAATTTACCAAAAGTAGAAATAGTCAACTTGAAACTTATTATTACGGCTGTTCCGGCGGTTCGCATGACGTTGTGGGCCGTCATTGCTCATCTCATATTATTATCATGATTTTGTATTAATAAATTCATAAATAAATAGTTATTAACAAAAATAGGGGATATAAACCCAATTTTTTTCAATATTATTCCCTGTTGGTAATACGGTTATTGATTGAAATATTATTTTTTAGAAACTTCTTGATTTCTGTGTAAATTTATTATGAATCTACTATAAGGTTAAACATGTTTTTTGCAACGCCATTGTATTTTATAATCATATAGATGTTGACAATATTCAAGGTATCCCACACGTGTTCAGTGGTTTTTCTAGTTTGTATGTTTTGTTATTGTACTAACCTACTTACATATTACAAATGGCGAAAAAACATGGTGCAGGTTACCGAGCGCTTCAAACAGAAATATTTATCTTAAAGTTCTGTGCAGTGTTGGAAAAGATTGCTAAATATTTATTATCTAGATAAGATAATAGATTATTAATCAAAAGTTCTGTGCAGCGTTGGAAAAAGATTGCTTAATATTTATTATCTAGATAAGATAATAGATTATTAATCAAAAAAAAAAACCAGTACAGTGGGGTCGGGGCATAGTGGGGACGGAGCATAGTGGGGACGGGGAGGTCACAGGTTTTAGGAATTTTTAAATCTGAAAGTGATAAAATCACTTTCGAAAAAACGCTTCGATGCAAATCGGTAGTTAGTATTTTCAAGGCAGTACAATCTAAACCAAGCACAGTGTAAGCTAGGAAAGTTAGAAAGTAATAAATTGAATCGGCCATTTCAAAAACGACTTAGGTCACCGATTTTTCAAAACTGTCTTTTTATCAAATGTATAATAATTATTACTTAGCTACGTATTCTGTGTGAAAACTCAATTTGTCAGACTCATATTTAATACAAATGTTGAGTACAAGAAATTTGAATCACTGCAAAATATATTTATGAAGTTTCTTGTGGCTAGTGTAATATTTCAAATTTGTGACTTGTGTCGTTTTTTAAATGACTGATAAAATTACAAAATAGAAGCATCAAAGCGTTTATTTGAAAGCGATTTTATTCAATTTTATCACTTTTATTTATAATAATTCTTGTAGACCTGTGACCTCTCCG